GGAGGCAGAGGCAGGTGGCTCTCTGTGAGTTCAAGGCCAGCCTGGTCTTACAGAGCCAGTTCCAGGACAGGCTCCAAAGCTGCACAAAGAAACCCTGTCTCGAAAAACCAAACTGAACCAAAACAAACAAACAAACAAACAAACAAAATTATATTTTAAAGATTAGGGAAATGGCTTAGTGAGTAAAGGTTGTTTGCCTGAGGACCTGAGTTCATCTGATATTTTCGCACATCCTATGCACACACACTAACTAAAACGTTAACAAAAATTACATTGTCTTTGGTGGCACACACCTTTAATCCCAGCACTTAGGAGGCAGAGGCAGATCTCTGAGTTCAAGGCAGCCTGGCCTACAGAGGGAGTTCCAGAACAGTGAAGATCACACAGAGAAACCATTTTGAAAAACACCCCACAAAAAAGAAAAAATAATCAAAATCAACCAAACAACAATAGAAGGTAAAGAATGTAACGTATTCATTTACTACCGAGTGAAATAGTCATCAGAATGCCTGCGGACCATAATTTAGACCTCAGACATTGTCACTGAATTATACTATGTTCCTGCTCTCTTAAGTACACTGTCCTCTGTACTGTCCTCTGCGCCTGCATATATATGGGAACGACTGCTATACATACTGTACTGTCCACTGCTGGTCTGATAGACGGGGGTTGGAACAGACATAGAAGTAACAGCAGAAATGCCTGGATTTTCTCCGTCTCTTTTTCTTCCCCGTGTATCTTCAGAAGAAAGGTCTTTCAATATTTTTCTGTAAAAGAAGAGAACTCTGTTAATGACAGTGCCTTACAAAGGCACTCTCTTGGTGACTTCGTAGCCTCAAACTTGAGACCCTCCTACCTGACACAATTTCCCAAGTGCTGGCCTAACAGGAGGAGCCACCACACCTGTTCAGATTACAAGCGCAGTAATCTAACCAGGTGTGGTAGTGTATGCCCTCTGTTTCAGTTTGGCAGGCTGAGGCAGGAGGATTACTTGAATCAGGAATTTGAAATGAGTAAGGGCCACATAGTAATGGACCTATCTCAAAGACAAAAAAGAAATGAACCAAAAGCAGAAGCCAGCCACAAATCAGCTCAGTGTGCTTTATCAAACCACCGCATTTGAATTCTCCAGGAGCTCCTGGAGAGCATCAAGTCTTTAGACTCAGCCAGCTGCTGACACAGATCCCAGAGTCACAAAAGAGCGGAGTCTGAGTCACCACAAGGCAGTCTAAGAGCTACTAAGAATGGCTCTAAAACTCAGAAACTCTTTTCCCTGTGAATCACCCTCAGTGACCTTGACTCAGGAATTCTAGAGTTTTACCTAAGGTTCAACTGTCTGGATGGGGCAGACCTCTGCTCCAGCACTCACCTCAGCTTAGTCCAACATGGCAATACCCCCTTCCCCCCAGATTTCCAAGCTCAACAGGGAAGGAATCGTGCTTCATTGTTGTGAAGCAATTTGCTGTAGCCGACACTGCCAGGACGAGCCTGCTTTGAGAGAGAAGTGGGAATCAAGGGGCAGGGTCCCAGAGAAAGGAAAAGCGGGTCTGACTCAACCCTACTAAGCCAGTTTATTCCAGATCTACAAAGACAGCTGTCAGCAGACACTCCAAAAGGAGAGAACAAAGGGAGACCTTCCCAGACATGTCCTTGGAAACAAGAGACCAACACAGGTGAGGACTCCTCACTGCGCAAGTGCACAAGTGAGTGACTGACAAGCAAGGAAATCAAGTAGCTTCCCTACTCATCCAGAAAAGGGACTGGCCTGACTAGGGCAGTGTTTCTTATGCAAGAATTCTGTGTACCCCTGCCTGTTCTGGAACTCACTCTGTTCCAGGTTGGCCTCGAACTCAAGAGATCCCTCTCTAAGTAATCCAAACACTGGGGCTAAAGGCATGTGCCACCACTCTCCAGCCTCCTTTTCTTTTCATTTTTTAAGTGCATGAGCACATATAAAGCTGGGTGTGTTGGGCTCAATAAATAACTGTTGAATTTTTAAAAAATACAATTATCAAGTTGAGCTTAGTGGTACACACTTTTAATCCCAAAGGCAGAGGCAGGCAGATCTGTGAGTCCCAGGTCAGCCAGAGATACATAGTAAGATTAACCCGCCAAAAATTAAAAAATAAACAGCAGACTCTAGTAGAGCCCCAAGCCAGTGTTAAGAAGTCTTGGGGGGAGGTGGTTTAGTGGTTAAGAGCACTGGCGAATCTTCCAAAGAACCTGGTTCAATTCACAGCACCTGCAAAGCAGCTCACAACTGTCTATAACCCCAGTTCCGGGGGTCTGACATCCTCACAGACATACATGCAGGCAGAACACCAATGCACATTAAAAAAAAAAAAGTGGTACACATCATTCACCTCAGCACTAAGGAGGCAGAGGCAGGCAGATCTCTGTGAGTTAGAGGCCAGCTGGTGTACAGAGCTAGTCCTTGTCTTGAAAAACCAAAACCAAACCAACCAAACAAACAAAAGGAAGAGGTCCTAGGGGATTAAGGAATTCTCATGCTTAGCATTTCTCATTACAGTGATGTAGTCGAGGTCTGTAACGCTGTGTTGGTTACACACTGAACAAAGAACAGAGAGCACCTCTCTAGGTGCAAAGGCTCTGTATAGCTGTACTACTTCCTTCTCTCCAAGAAAGAAGGTTCTGTCCTCGTGTCCTTCACTTAGGAAGTTGAAGTGGCCTTTTCAACTTCAAATCATCTGTAGTGGAAGAAAAGCCCACAGTACTCAGAAACAAGAGCAGACCTACTACCATAAAAAACGCAGACACTGCATTCCCACGGGCTCTCCAAGGTTATCAAGGTTACGTTGGGAAGAATATTAACTCCTGTCAAAAACCTAAGAGACTACACATGGGAATGGCACACACTAGCTTAGGGAACAGCACTTTGCAGAAAAGGTACTAACCTGAAGCAGTATGTTATAATGTTACCTGGTATACGGTACATAGACGGCTTATGTTATATTCTAATGTTTACTAGTGTTCTAAATATTTAATAGTTTAACACTGAAAATAAAACGAACACTGAATTGCGTGGTATACATGTGGCCATCAGAGGACGACCTAGGTGCTGATGGCTCTCTCCTGCATTGTCACAATCATGTCTTCCTTGTATTTGCCCTTCTCCTCTCCTACATGTGGAGACTTGACTTCACTTTTCGGGATCTTTTTGTAGTCATGGTCCAGCTTTAGCTGGTGATAGCCTTGCTGGGGTGGATGCCCACACGGACACTTGTGTCAACAGCCTTTTCTCACTGCAATCAATCAATATAGATGATGCATTTCTTCCTGTACACTTGGACCACTTTGCCAATCTGCTGGCCTCTGTAGTGTCCTCAGACAACCTGAACTTCATCATCCTCTTGAATGGGCACAGATCAACCGTTGTACTTCTGTCTCAGGTCTTTGGAAAGAGGGGAAGACATAACCTTCCTCTGAATGTGAAACGGTGTTTTGAAATGCTCTTTGTGGTTCTTGCTTAGGTCAGAAGTCATGAAGGGACTGAACTTCATTTTGAGCATAACATGCTGCATACTCCCTTATCTTGGTATCCTGAGACAGGGTCTTTTCTACACAGCACCTGCTGTACTGGAACTCACCAGCTGGAAGGTTGCCTTCCAACTCAGAATTCCTCTGCCTCTCGAGTGCTGAGATTAAAGTTATATACCCTAGCCAGGTGGCTTTAATGCTGTCGATCTTCCAGTAATTTATGTTTTGAGTTATATCCCACAAAACTTGTTATTTTGCAGACAAAACCCTAGACAATCTCGTTTAGTCCAGAACTCTCTTCCTAGCTAAGGATGATCTTTAACTCCTGTCTCCTCTTAAGAGCTCAGATTAGAAACGTGTGCCAGCAGTCTGGCTCTAGAAAGCATTTTTATTAGATTTTATGTGTGTGTGTGCCAGAGGGGCTGAACTAAGGTTAGCAGCCTTGGAAACAGGTCACTTTACCTGTTGAGTCATGCTAGCCAGACCAAGACCTTCTGATCTTTTGCCTCTCAAGTGCTGAGACTACTGTGTGGTTTATGCAGTGTTGGGAAATAAGTATAACAGGCAAGCATTCTACCAACCGAAGTATATTCTTAGCATTAAAAAGTACTTTTAATTGATGAAAACTAAAATGCAAGCTGGGCATGGTAGCCCAGCTCACTTTTAATCTTAGCACCCCAGTGGCTCAATCAGGAGGATTGCTTCAAGTTCTAGACCAGTCAGAGCTAAACGAAGAGATCACTTCTCAAAAAACAGTAACAACAGAATTCTGACTTCAAGACTTCCTGTCTGCAGTCAGGCGGTGCTGGTGCACACCTTTATTCTAGCACCCACGAGGCCAGTCTGGTCTACAGAACGAGTTCTAGGGCATCCAGGGTGCTGTGGAATAATCCTTTTGTACACTGTGAAGATGTGTTTTTCTCACTGGTTTAATAAAGGGCCAAATGGCCAATACCTAGGCAGAAAGAGATTAGGCAGGTGAATGAGACTGAGAGAATGCTGGGAAGAAAGGCAGAGTTGCCAGTCAGATGCAAAGGAAGCAGGACTTGTAGAAAATGAGCTAACAAGCCATAAGCCATGTGGTATCACGTAAATAAGTAGAAATGGGTTCATTTAAATTGTAAGAGCTAGTGAGTAACAAGTCTAGGCTATTAGTCGAGCATTTATAATCAGTAAGAAGTCTCCGTGTATTTATTGGGGAGCCAGTTGTCTAGGTGAAAAACTCTGCCTACACAGGGCTACATAGAGAAACCCTGTCTCGAAAAACCGAAAAAACTTTGCTTGGCTAATGAATGGTTTCTTAGTTTAATTTCCAATTATTTGGAGATTTTCCATTGCATTTCTATCATTGGTTTCTAGTCTAATTCTAGGAGGAGAGCATACATGATTTCAGTTCTTTTAGATTGCTGGGGCACTCCTCTCTTGGAATCCCTCCTTTTTTTGAAAGCACTCTTTTCCTTAATAAATAAATACATGGCCAGGTGATGGTGGCGCAT